TAAGGTCTTATTTATTTTTTAAATCCCTATTTCAATTAATTTTTGAGACATGCTCTATCCAACTTTCAAAAACTGAGAATAGTAGGAAAGTAAATATTTTCCCTTCATATTATGAGTTGAAGACAGTCTTTTTTTCAAAGCCATCACCAAAGTAGAAAACAAGAAAAATATAGGTTAGTATCTCTTATGACCAGAGATACATAAATTTCAAAAATAAATAATATACCAAAAGATAAAAAAAAAAGACAAATGTAGATTTATTTCAAGAACACAAAGATACCCATTGGATAACTAATTAATATGAGTCAACTAAAGGGAGAAAAATCTTAGGTTTTTCTCAATTGATTCAGAAAAATCATTTGATATGATTTATGCCCATTTTTGAAAACTATGTAGGTGAGAATTAGAAGGGAAACTCCTTAATCTGATCAAGCAAAAGTAATATATACTCATAATCAGATGTTATCAGTATTCCTTTTAAAATTAGAAATTAGACAGAGAACTAATGTAACTAACTCTATTCAACCTAGTACAAAGTAAAAGAATAGTATCAGCATTTAAAAATATAAAACATTACCTATGATTATACGAATAAAAAATTATTAAAAATCAATGTGAGCTCATGTCACTATGTCTTTCCTGTAATCCTAGCAACTCAGGAGGCTGAGATCTGAGGATTGTGGTTCAAAGCCAGCCCCAGCAAGAAAGTTTTTGATACTCTTATCTCTGGTTGACCATCAAAACTCTGGAAGTGGAGCTGTAGTTCAAGTGTTACAGAGCCAGTCTTGAGCATAAAAACTTATGAACAAGCCCCAGAATTGGCATTAACAAGAACCTGTCAATTGTGTTTTACAATCCATGAAAGAGTTCATATTATTGGATGCAAGTTTACAATGTGTCAACTTCTGTCCTATAATCAAATTATATATATTTATTTTTTTTATTTATTTTTTTATTTTTTTGTCAGTCGTGGGGCTTGAACTCTGGGCTTGGGCACTGTCCCCACGCTCTTCAGCTCAAGGGGAGTGCTCTACCACTTGAGCCACAGCGCCACTTCCTCAAAGTATATTCTTGCTTTTGCATTATTGGCCTAAATGCTTTGTACTTGCTAGGCAGTCACTCTACCGCCTGAGCCATACCCCATCTTCTTGCATGTCTGCCCAGGACTAGCCTCAGACTATGATCTTCCTACCTATGACATTCACATAGCTTGCATTACATTCATATACCACCATATCCATCTTGTTTGTTGAGATGGAGTCTCAGTAACTTAAAAACAGAGTAGCTTAAAAACACAATCCTACTGATCTCTCTCTACTTCTGAAGTAGTTAAGATTATAGGTATGTGCTACCAAAAAAGGGAGTCATTTACAAGGCTTATTTTGTAACTTGTTTCTTATTTATTTCATGATATAAATGTTGTATCTATAACACAATTCTCTGAGCTTTCCTTGCTTCATGAAAGTAGATTTATTACATAAATTATATTATTATCCTACGTGCTATACAAAAAGGTCTCTCTAAAATTTCTTCATTTTAGTGAGACTCATTTTGTGCTGATATAACAATACCTAAGACTGGTAACTTATGTAATACCAAGAATTGTTCTTACAGTTCTAGAGGATAGGAAAGACCAAGGTCAGATGGCTTATATTGGGCAAAGGACTTCTTGTGGTGTTATCTCATGGAAGAAGTGGAAAATCCAAGAGAGAAATAATGAGATTGAATTTATACCTTCTATTCTTTGTAAATGTTAGCATTAATCCATTCATGAAAGTAGAACATTCCAGTTCCTAGCTTCCATCCTCAGTGTATGTTTAATTGGGTAGAACAGCAGCAGAGAGGAGGATAATGGACAGTATGAGAGATTTTGCATTTCTGACTTCCAAAAATACTGTGTATGGTACTGTTTGAGGGACCACACATTATTAAATGATGAATTATTAGACTACAACAATTTTTATCTAAAAGTCTTAATTCCCTCACCCTCAAATGTACTTCTATTTTCAATTCATATGACAGTTTACATCATCACTATCTAATGTTGTGGTTACTTGTTTATATGCTTTAATATTCTATATTGCATTTATATCCTCCTTAAGAACTTAGGTCATATTTATTTTATAATGCTTAGTGCAGATACTTAGTTGTTTTAATAAACATTAGAGGGTGGTAAGATGATGGTGATTTTACAAGCACTTATACTAACAAATTATTTATAGTTGAATAATTTAATTTAAATAAATGAATAATTTGATTCACTGTAATAGTGCTTGCAAACATACTTTTTTTTGGTCAGTCATGGGGCTTAAACTTTGGGCCTGGGTGCTGTCCCTCAGCATTTCAGCTCAAGGCAAGCACTCTATCACTTGAGCCACAGCACCACTTCCGGTTTCCTGGTGGTTTATTGGAGATAAGAGCCTCGTGAACATTACTGCCCAGACTGGCTTTGAACCACAATCCTTAGATCTCAGCCTCCTGAGCAGCTAGGATAACAGGCATGAGCCACCAGCACCCGGCTTCAAACATGCTTTATTAAATATAAAATAACATAAAGTGAAATAACTTTGGATATCCCAGAGTGAAAAGAATACACCCCACAATTCTTTTTTTTTTCTTTTTGTCAGTCATGGGGCTTGAACTCAGCACTGTCCCTGAGCCTTTTTGTATTCAAGACTAGAGCTCTACCACTTTGAGCCACTGCACCACTTCTGGTTTTCCAGTGGTTAATTGGAGCTAAGAGTCTATGGGGACTTTTCTGCCAGTCTGGCTTCACACCACTATCTTCAGATCTCAACTTCCTGAAGAGCTAGTATTACAGGCATGAGCCACCAGCATGAGTAATTGATGCTATATGATTTAAAGGAATACTATACTTAGTGAAAATTCTAGATTTATTCACTAAATTGCCAGATTTGTTATATAAAACTAGCAGGTCTTAGTATTGTTAACATTATCATTCTAATCACTTTGCTTCTCACATTATAATCAATTAGCCATCAAATGATAAAAGCCAGAGAATATTCCTAATAGAACATTTTAAGAGCTTTATAATTGCCTATTGCAGTTTTGGCCCTGAAGTACTTTTTTTTTTTTTTTTGTCCATCATGGGGTTTGAACTCTGGGCCTGGGGGCTGTCCCTGTGCTCTAAAGCTTAAGGTGAGCACTCTACTGCTTGAGCCACAGCACCACTTCTGGTTTCCTGGTGGTTTATTAAAGAGAAGAGTCTCATGGTCTTTCCTGCCCAGGCTGGCTTGGAACCACAATCTTCGTATCTCAGCCTCCTGAGTAGCTAGGATTACAGGCATGAGCCACTGGCTCCCAGCCTGAAGTACTTTTTTATTCGATTCTGACTGCCAAAATAAAAGCAAATTTTGAAGAACTAACACTTACATTAAAGGTTAGAGAATGAGACTTAAATTTTTTAATGAAATCCTGAATTCCATGAAGATGGCCAAAGAATGATTAATTAATCATTTTCAGATATATGAAAGTTTAAGTAACTGTGATCAACTCTTTTCTTTTGAAATTGTAGCTAGGATATTTCAAAGTAATAAAGTACAAGATATGTTTAGGTTGCTTTAGAAATAAAAATGTTGCAGAATATTTCAATCATAGAACATTTGGAAAAATATTCTTATGTGACTAAAACCTTACAAAAATTTTAAATAGTATAATTTTTGTTCTATAGATGAAAATAAGGTCGTGTTATCAGATCAAAGTAAAACAGTTCTCATTCCCCAGTAAAATCAGGACTTTGAGTCTTTGAAGACTCTTTACTCTTTACTCAGTTTTCCACTGCTTTCTCACTGTTTCATTTTTATTTTGCTAATTGGTTTAAATGTGGGCTGGAATTAACAATGATCTCTTAAATACATTTCTAGTTTAAATTGCTTATGATCATCAAAGGATCTGTTAGTAATTGAGCTCTCTAATCACTTTACCAATGCCTTGTTTTTACTTTAAAACTTTTGTTAATAAGCTTTTTATTGTGAAAATACTGTAAAGAGGGGTTACAATCACATGATCAAGGTATTTCTTATCCAACATTGTTGCCTCCTCCTTTGTTTTTCCCCTACCATCCCTTCCCTCCCACCTCTACAACTACATAGGAGCCACCACCTCCCACTCCCTCCCCCACAGCCCCCCCCCCCAACCCTGGCCTAAATTGTAAAGTTCGTTTTTCCACATGGCATCTTGTACATCTCATTGTTGCAATGGATCCACCTGTATCCCTATTAAACAATTTGTTTTTTCCCTTCTGCTCCCCAAATTATACCAACATCAAATACAGTGAAAATGAGTTAAATCATGGGGGAGGGACATACAAAGCAACAACAACAACAAAAATCACATGGTACCTTATAAATACATTAGAAACAATAGCAAGAAAGAAAAAAACCACTTGTGTCCTTATCTTGGCGTTCATTTCGCTTAACATCATCTTATCTGACCTTTTCTGCTTGTCTCAGATATATACTAGTTATTGCAAATAAGGAAAACCATAGGACCTATGTTTCTTTGCACCTGGCTTACTTCACTTAATATTTTTTTTTCTTCAAAACTTCTTAAGCAGAATCTAAAATCTAAATCTAGTCAGCTCTTGGGTACTGTATGAATTAGACTTTAGAACATAAATGTTACTGTTTTAGACATTTTTGTGCACTGTCTCATTGGAATCTTAGAATTTATGGGAGATTCACTAAAGCTAAAATGTACAAAAGATCAAACAGCTAACATTAGCTTTTGACATGGTTAAATTGCTCAAACGTAGATGATTTATTCTGATTCTACATTCAATGCATTTTTTTCTAATCCATTACACTAAATATCATTATAAAAACATCAGCCAGAATTACTAATTTATGTACCAATTGGTGAATATTTTAACAATTTTTTTAAACAGTTGTTCTCATGTGAAGAAAGTTGAATGGCCTTTGTTGAATATATTTATAGTGAAACATTTATTGCAGGTCATTGTCCTTTCTATTTCCTTTTAGGCCTGTTTGTGGAATCAGAGGAAAAACTCTCATAATTAACCTACCAGGTAGCAAGAAAGGATCTCAGGTAAGCATTCTTGACAATTTATATGGTTTATTCATGAGACTTTAAACCAACTATGAGAATAGCCAAGCAAAAGTGCACATTCCATATGTCCGGCCCTGGGGCCTGAACTCTGGGCCTGGCCACTGTCCCTCAGCTCTTCAGCTCAAGGCTAGTGCTCTACCACTTGAGCCACAGCACCACTTCTGGCTTTTTTCTTTTGCTTATGTGGTGCTGAGGAATCGAACCCAGGGCCTCATGAATGCAAGGCAAGCGCTCTACCACTGAGCCACCTTCCCAGCCCCATGCTTACATGTTCAGAGGGGTTACAATTGCATGAGTACATTTCCTATCTAGCATTGTTACTCCTTTCTTTGTTTTTCCCCTACCATCCCTTCCCTTCCTACCTCCCCAATCCCTCGCCACCCGCCTCCCCCCTCCACCTCCACCCAAAGTTGTTTTCAACATAATGTCTTGTACATCTCATTGCTACAATGGGCAACCTGTATCCTTATTTCAGTAGTTTGTTATTTCCCTTCCTCTCCCCAAATTAGAAAAATGTGTATAGAAGATGCAGGGTACCAACATCAAATGCAGTGAAAACAGGGTTATACCATGGGGGGAAAACATACAAAAGAAACAAAAAAAAAAAATCACATAGTACATTTTAAGTACATTAAAAATAACAGCAAGAAAGATAAAATCTCTTGTGTCCCTATCTAGGGTTCATTTCGCTTAGCATCATCTTACAGGGTCATATGTACATAGCTTTTGACCTTTTTGGCTTGTCCTAGCCATATACTAGTTATTGCAAATAAGGGAAACCATGGGACTTATGTTTCTTTGGGCCTGGCTTACTTCACTTAAAATAAATTTTTTCCAAGTTTTTCCATTTCCTAACAAATGGAGCGGTATGACTGCTCACTTCTGACACTAATTGAGAATCATGCTAAGATTTAGTTAAGTAATTCACTAGAAAGACTCACTGAACCCACTTGTACCTCAGCCTTAGAGTTTATTAAGAAAAAGGATACAGATTAAATTAGTCAAGAGAAGTACGTTAGACAGGATGGCAAGCATGGAGTTTTCATTATCCTCTTTACCTGAATGCATGAATATATTACTCTCCTGGCATCAATGTTTGAAATACACATGGAATATCACCAATCAGAAACTCACTCATGTTTTTTATGTCCTATTTTTTTTTCTGTCAAGGAGTTAGGGCCTGGGCACTGTCCCTGAGCTCTTTTGCTCAAATTTAGCACTCTACTACTTTGAGCCACAGTTTCACTTCCAGTTTTTGAGTGATTAATTAGAGGTAAGAGTCTCATGGGGACTTTTCTGCAGACGCTGGCTTTTAACTGTGCAGATATTGGCTTTTAACTGTGATCCTCAGATCGCAGCTTCTTGAGTAGCTACAATTACAGGTGTGAGCCACTGGCACTTGGGTTGATGTCTATTTTTTTAAGCTCATCACATACTCTTCCTGTGTTTGATCTTTAGTTCTTATCCCTTCCAAGAGGTTGGACTGATACCTTTAATCTCAAACAACTTCAAGAGACAAAAGTAGTACCCATGTACACCAAAGCCCTCTCTGTAAATGACATTGTTAGAACACCTAGTGGTCACAGACTTCTATCAAAAAAGAATCTTTGTCGGTATGAAATTCTAATGACCTGTCATATCCTCCTAGCTGAGGCAATATGGAGCCAACATACAGTTAAAGACATAGCCAATTTATCTGTGAAGACACTATATACATTTCTATATATTTGTAGCAATTTAGTAATTTCCCAGTTGATATACTGTTCTTTGTAGATAGAGTTAAACTTCTCTTACTTAGGAATCACCCTTCTTCTAACACTCACACTTGTATCCCAATTATTGAGAGTATGATACCAAGTAGAAAATAAGGTGAGATGACATGGGCAAAATAAAGAAAAAGTACTCATGTAGGTAGAAATTATAAGCCAGGTGCAGGTGCCTCACACCTGTAATTATAGCTGTTCAGAAGGTTGAGACCTAGATCATTGCAGTTTGAAGCCAGTCTGTGCAGAAATGTCTGCAATACTCCATCTCTAAACAACCAGCAAAAAAACCAGACAGTCAAACTGAGGAAGTATGAAGCCCTGAAATCAAACCCTGGTACCAAACAAAAGAAAAGAAAAGAAAAGGAGAGATGGAGAGAAGAGGAAAGGAGGGAAGGTTGGCAGAGAATGATGACATTGGTAAAAATTCATTGTATCCATATACTACTTTGTTGAATGGCAACTTCTTTGCACAATTACTTAAAAGAGAATTAATTAATTAATTAGAAATAATCATGCCATCATTCTTTCCCACACCCTCAAAGTTAAATATTATCACAAACTCATTAAGGTATATAAGACAGTATTTTATACCTTTATTTACCTCCATTGAAGATAACAAATGTTTCAATTATCCATGGATCCTCTGTCAAATTATTACTCTAAGAATGAAAATGCTAGGACCTGTTGTTTCCTCTAGGAGCTACTAGCATTGATCTGATTTGCTAGTTGTGTGCGGGTCCTTCCCCCTGTAGCCTTCTATGGACATTGGCTTATTTACAAACAGAACCATTCTTGGCTTGGCATTTTAATGCTAAGGTAAGCCCTCCTTTATATAGCTACAGACTACCAGTATCTGTGATATATGTTATGGACCCAGGTAGCCATATCAAAAATTGTGATTCTATTCAACTTCCAGTCTTAAGTGAGAGTTCTTTTTTTTTTTTTTGTCAGTCGTGGGGCTTGAACTCTGGGCCTGGGCACTGTCCCTCAGCTCTTCAGCTCAAGGCGAGCACTCTACCACTTGAGCTACAGCGCCACTTCCGGTTTTCTGGTGGTTTTTATTGGAGATAGGAGTCTCACGGTCTCTCCTGCCTGGGCTGGCTTTGAACCGCGATCCTCAGATCTCAGCCTCCTGAGTAGCTAGGATTACAGGCGTGAGCCACCAGCGCCTGGCAGAGAGTTCTTTTTAATAGATACTTACATATCCTTCTCTAATATAGTCATGTCTTTAACAGATTGGTTTTTCATTGCCTTTCTGCCTGTTAGACATTGTCAGCAAAAATCCAAAAAGGCAAGAATTGTGCAGTTCAGACCTTTGGACTGATTTGAATTCTTCAGTCAGCTCCATAATTGGAGCACCCCAATGACTGCTCTCACTTATGATACCAACTGTATATCGGGATTCCTAAAATGTACTCTTGTGTTTAATAACTCACTAGGATTCATAAGTGGTATAACTGAAAATGGCTATACTTATGGTTGAATGAGATACAGATTAACAGCAGCTAACAGAAAAAGTACATAGATTTGAACATAAGAGAGATAACAAACAAGGAACTTTCACTATTCCTCTTTCTAAAATCATTTACTTGTTATCCTTCTGGCGTAGATGTATGTCATGATACATACAGACTTTTGCCAGCTAGGAATACTATGACCAGAATTTTTAGAATTCTTGGTGGCTAAAAGGAACGTGAACATTTAGGCATGACATTCTGAAAATCTGAACGGTACTACCCAAAAGCTGATAGTAAAAGCTAGGACTCCCTAGCTTTTACTAACTCCCAAATATTACAAAATATTTGAACAGTAAACTGATAAGACATACAAAGAGACAATAAAAGTATTCTAATAAGCCTCCAAAATTTTAAAGATATTTTTTCATACCTTACATTTTAAGGGTTACTTTAAATATGAAATATGAATGAACAGAGTGGAAGACAATTATGAAACTAATACTACTGGTGTCAGTCTGAACCAATACAAATATCTTTCCCAAATATATCTGGCTCTGTGTTCTAGTTATTAAGTCCTTGCTTATTCTCTTAGATAGTGCACTATAGGTTATAGTAGCACCTGAGCAGACGATTGTATTGACTTTTCTGTATGAGCTTATATGACTTTTTTATGAACTTATATCTATCTTTAAGTATTGTACAACATTGTACAGTAGTTAGAATTGTTATACTTATTTCATGATGGTACTCAGAAGTTTGGTTTCTGAAGAAAATTATCTGGTCCTCAAATGAGTTATTCATTCTAGTGTCTTACTGTAATTAAAAATGTGAAAATTTTTTCCTGCCTTTTCCATGTTTCTAATAAAGCATCTCTGAACTCCAAAGTTATTTCCAAATTTTACTTTATTTATTTATTTTGGCATACAGGAGTTTATACTCAGGGCCTTGTGCTTGCTAGGTAGGTGTTCTACCATGTGAGCCATGCCCCAGCTCTCTTTTGCTTTAGTTAATTTTCCAATAGTGTCTTATGTTTTTGTACAAGTCAAGCTCAGACTGCAATCTTCCTACTTTTGCTTACAAACATAAGTATAATTACATGCATACTTCACCATGCATACTTATTCGATGAATTATGATCTGAATAACTAGACTCCAGCAATAATAATTCCAATCTCTGACTTGAAAGTAACTGGAATTACAGGCATATCCCACCATGCCCAACCTCATTCTCACTTAATTGTGTGTGTGTGTGTGTGTGTGTGTGTGTGTGTGTGTTGTAAAACAGACTGTGTCTTGGCACAGTGTCTGTAATCCCAACTACTCAGGAAGTAGAAGCAGTAGGATTTCATACTGTTGCTGGCTTGGGAAAAAGCAATGAAACCCTATTTGAAAAACAAATGAAAATCAAAGAATAAAGGTATGACTTAAGTAGTAATTTTTTCCAGAAAGTTCTAAGCCTTGAATTTAATCCTCAGTACTGCCCAAAAAAGAATAAAGAAAATGTTGCACTGGGCATGGTGGTTCACACCTATAATTTCAGCTGCTTAGGAGGTATAGATAGGAAGATCACAGTCCATGGTTGGCCTAGGCAAAAACCCCATACCCTGTCTAAAAAATAAAACCAAAAAGAGCCTGTCTTAAGTTGTAGAGCTCTTGCCTAAGTAAGCAGAAGGCCCTGAGTTCAAAACCCAGTACCAATAAAATAATAATAATACGTGCTCATTTAGTACTGTAGTTTTCTAGCATATAGAGAATATTGTTTGCCATCTTGCTTCATATTTCACTTGCAAAAACAATGCATGAAATATGCATCCTCATGATTAATGGAAGGAAATACAAATCAAAAATCAGTAATCAGTTTCTTGCCAGCATTTTACATGTCTATAAATTGGCTTCATTTTCATTGTTTTTCTCTTGTGGACAGGAATGCTTTCAGTTTATACTGCCAGCTCTACCTCACGCCATTGACCTTTTACGTGATGCCATTGTAAAAGTAAAGGAGGTGCATGATGAACTTGAAGATTTACCTTCCCCGCCACCTCCTCTTTCCCCTCCTCCCACAACCAGTCCCCATAAGCAGACAGAAGACAAAGGGGTACAGTGTGAGGAAGAAGAAGAAGAAAAGAAAGACAGTGGTGTTGCTTCAACAGAAGATAGTTCTTCATCACATATAACTGCAGCAGCCATTGCTGCCAAGGTAAGCCTGCTGAGAGAAACTCAGAGGTCTTAGAGATCCGAAGGTAAATTATTGATTTCATCCCTCTCTCTATCTCATCCCTCTATAAGTTTAATAACTTCTTAGGAAATCCTAAAAAAGTAACTGAGATATCCATTAATCTCTATCACTGTGTCCTTTCTTGACAGATTTCTTGTAATAGTTGACATTTACTGTGTGGTTAAGGCACTACCTATTGAAATTAGAGCTGCAAGATAAACTGTGTGACATTTAAGAACTCTTTGATTTTTATCTTTTCTGTGGATATGTTAAGTTTATAATAGTTATATAGTCAAAACATGAAAATTTCTGAAATTCTTAGATGAACAAAAATCCTCAATTTAAAAGACTTCAGATAATTCAAGAAATTAATTAGTAAAAATTAATTAAATTATTTTTAAAAAACAAAAGACTTAAATTAGTCATTGAATTTTATTTAAAGTACTTACTCAAATATTACTAAACAGAAATTACACTAGCGGTATAAGGAGGAATTAGATATGTTTGATTTTTTAATGATGTAATAATATTAATAAAAAATACCAAAGTATTTTAAATTGTTTTTAGACAGTTCTGGAAGTTAATATGGTACCATAATGTGTTTGAGTAAATTTAATTAATTTTTCAGCCTGTATGCTATCAACAAATTAATTATTGTATGTAGTAATTTATAGAGATTTATAGATCACATATTCTGGCTGTCAGCACAATAAGATTTTTATTGAGAACATATGGATTGAAGTCATAGATAATTCATTTTGTATGTTGACTTAGGAACCAGTGTATGGTTCTTTCGTGAAGACTGAATGATTTTGCCTCTATATCATTCAACGATCCATGGAGTCTTAACATTAGTAAGATTTTAAACTATGATTTTTTTAATGGAACCAATTGGTGAAATAGGTACATTCTAAAAATCATTGTATATTCTTTCTCTTTTACTTTCAGTTAAAAGAGTAAAAAAGCACCATTGATTTTAGTCTTAAGGAAAAAGCTTATGACATTTAAAATCAAAGCTGATTTTTTTCATTCTACATTTAGAAAGTTTGGCATTTCATTATTCCTTTGTTTTCACTGTTTTCCTTTTTAGTCATTTTGTTTGTATAGTTTCATGTTTTCCTGTCACTATATTCATAACTGTTATGTGTTGTGCATTAGAAGCATCCATTCTGCACCAGTCCTGCTGTTATAATGGCACATGGTGGGCAGCTCATTCCTGGTCTCATCAATTATTCCCATCATGCAACAGGCAGTACAGATGAACCGGTAAGACAAAAGCGTTTACATTAATGATTATGCAGATCTACATCCTACTTCCTCTCTTTGGAGGTAGACTATTTCATAGAGATGGATCTTCACCCAATGCTTTGTTGGGAAAGTGTAAGTACCACTGAGCATATTCCATCCAGAAATTTAACAATTTCTCTTATACCTAAAGAGTTCTGCTATCATGAGGATTCTATTATTTGTGGCACTAAATTTTCATCACATGACTTTCTACAAACTTGCTATGCCAGAAGTTTTGTTTCTGCTAGCAATTTCATTGAATATCTTTAAATAAATTGTATAGAATAATTTATAAAACTCTTAACAGAATCATTTTGCTTCTTATACCTAGACAGATTGGTCAAGTTAACATTTAACTTATATTAACCTTGCTTTTTTATTTTTCTCATGGTATTTCATCTCATTTTCATTTGTTCTGTTTTCATTTTGACCATTTAGAAAGTTAAATCTTCATGTAAATTCTGTGATTGTTAATCTTTTGATACAAATTCTTAAAGATGCTTACTAGTTCTTTAATTATGCAAAACAGGCATGGTAGTGTATGCTTATAATCCAAGCATTTAGGAGGCTTTGTCAAGGAGAACTTGAGCTTGAGGCCAGCCTGGTCCAAAGAGACTTTGAGGCTACCCCAACCTATATAATTAAACTCTATCTTTAAAAAAAAAAAAAAAAAAAAAAAAGCTGGACTTAGTGGCTCACATCTGTAATCCTACCTACTCAGGAGGCTTAGATCTGAGGATCACAGTTCAAAGCCAGCCTGGGTAGGAAAGGCCATGAGACTCATATCTCCAGTAAACCACTCAGAAAACCGGAAGTGGTCCTGTGGCTCAAGTAGTAGAGCACTTGCCTTGAACTGAAGAGCTGAGGGACAGTGCCCAGGCCCAGAGTTCAAGCCATAAAACCAACCAAAAAAAAAAGGAAAAGGAAAAGGAGAGGGGAGAGAAAGGTAGATGGAAGGAAACAAGGAAGTGAAAAGCAAAGGAAAACAAAAGAGAAGAAAAAAGTTTGTACCAAACTAGGTTAGAAAAGAGTAAATTGTTTAGTGTTTATCATTAAACAGTGATAATTTAAACACTAGTTGCAAAATAACATCAATTTCAGTCCAATATGTACATAAAATGAGAGGGTACAGAAAATAAAAACAAATAATAATGTGAAATTTGACTCAAATACTTAGGGGAAAAAAAGACACCAAAAATATGGAGAAAACATGGAAAAGTTCCAACAATTTAGCCTTGGTGGTTTACTGGGAAATACACTATCAAGTGAAGACTTTAATATGTAATCCACAAAATCATACCTGGCTAGAACTAAATAGTATATTATATGTAGTAGAATATTATGTGTGTATATAATGAAATATTAAATATATAGTTGAATTATTTTATATTCTTGAGCCATTCATCAGTTGTTGAGCATTTGGGCTTTTTCCATAGCTTGTATAGGTGAGTGAACAATGAAGGGGTAAATAGGTATCTTTATTGTATCCTGATTTTCAATCTTTTAGGTGAATGTCCAAGACTGGTATACTTGAATAATAGATGTGTTCTGTTTTTAGTTTTTGGAGGAATCTTCATTCTGCCTTCCATAGTGATTGTACTAATTTTTATTTCCACCAACAATGTGATGTACTTTACTTGACAACATTTGTTGTTCATGGTCTCTTTTTTGTTGTTGTTGGTTGTAGGGCTTGAACTCAGGGCCTGGATGCTCTCTCTCGAGCCTCTTTATTTGCAAGTTTAGTGCTCTATCATTTGAGCCACAGCACCATTTCTGGTTTTTGAGTGGTTAATTAGAGAAAGTCTCACGGGGACTTTTCTGCCCCAGCTGCCTCTTAACTGCAATCCTTAGATCTCAACCTCCTGAGTAGCTAAGATTATAGGCATTAGCCACCAGCAAGTGGCTTGTTGTTGACATTTTTAATGTCCATTCTAACTGGCATGAAATGGAATCTCAATATTGTTTTGATTTGCATTTCCTTTATGGCCAGAGATGTTGGGCATTTCTTCATGTATTTCTTAGCCATTTTTACTTCTTAAAAGGTACTAATATACACATTCCTATACAAGCTTTTGTTTGAACATGTGTTTTCAATTCTATTGAAATTAAATTTATTTTTATATAGAAGTATACTTTTTTAGGTAAGAGATGTAATGTGTTGTAAGAAAAAAAGCAAATAAATGAACAAATATCTATGGAAATAACTAGGAATAATAGATCTCTCTGAAAAAATTCTAAATATTAGTGTGATTTTTTTTCAACATACAACTTCAGTCACCTTAACTATCAAACATAGCAAACAGGTCAGGACAGATATTTGAGGCAAAAGTCACATTTAGTATATTGGTAAATGAATGGATTTTCATGAAGTAAAAATGGAAAGAAGGTAACTTGATTAATTTTTGATGATTCCATCATTTGGAAAATTCCAACTAAAGAATGTAGTGACATTGGAAGTTAGATCTATAGGTGTGCATAAGTAGATGATATTAAAACTTATTTTCAGGACACAAACTGACTACTCCAGCTAACAAATAGACTCTATTCTCCCTTTACAGTAACCTTGGCTGAAAAATAGGTACTGAAAGTCACCTTCTTTCCAAGGAGGTTTGACTCCAAACCATCGTCAGTACAGATATTTCTTATCCCAATCAAGATAAACTCCCAGTAACATCCACAGAGGCCTTTGCTGAATCAATTGCTCCATAGTTCTTTTGAACCATGTCTCCCTTCCATTGCTCTCTCCCAGTTTTTCCCTCCCATCCCCACCCAAAAGATATCCAGTTCATTTTCCACATAGAGTGTTAGTTTATATGAGCATCTGCACATAGTTATTGAGCCTTTGTCAACCACTCCTATGCATATCCTCCCTTGGCCTCAGTGTGTGACTGTCTAGACTCCTATATAGTTTATCAGGTCCCAATGTACGCATATATATATATATATATATACATATATATATATATATATATATGATGTTGGTTTGTTTGTTTTAATCATTCAGTGTGTTTACTTGTAGATTTATAGGCATATTCTATTTAACACAAATGAGGAAAACCATGCAGTCTATGTTTCTTTGACTCTGGCTTACTTCACTTTTTTTTTTGGGGGGGGGGGGGTCTGGTTGTGGAGCTTGAACTCTGGGCCTGGGTGTTGTCCCTCAGCTCTTCAGCTCAAGGCTAGCGCTCTACCACTTGAGCCACAGCGCCACTTGCGGCTTTTTTAGTGATGCTAAGGAATCGAACCCAGGGCCTCAGGCATGCAAGGCAAGCGCTCTACCACTGAGCCACCTTCCCAGCCCCTTACTTCACTTTTTTTTCCAAGTTTTTCCATTTCCTTAATAATGACTTAATATCATTCTTTCTGATGGATGATTAGAATTCCATCGTGTAGATAAACCGCATTTTCTTGGTCCATTCATCCACTGAGAGACATCTAGGTTGCTTCCGTATCTTGACTATGGTAAACGATCCTGCAATGAACATGGTTGTGCTTGTGGCTTTACTGTGGCCTGGTTTTTGGTCCACTGGATAAATGCACAGGAGTGGCATTGCTGGGTCATGGGGTAGCTTTATGTTCAGTCTTCTAAGGAACCTCCATACTGCTTTCCAAAGTGGTTGAACAAGTTTACATTCCCACTAACAGTGTTATAAAGGTCCCTTTTGGCACATCCCTGCCAGTGTTTGCTATTGTTATTGATAATGGCCATTCTAACTGCAGTGAGATATAATCTCAATTTTGTTTCAGTTTGCAGTTCTTTTAGGCCAGAGATGTTGAACATTTCTTAATGTGTCTATTGGCCGTTCTTTTTTCTTCCTCTGAAAAGTCTCTCTTTAAGTCTTTGGCCCACTTATTGATTGGATTGTTGAGTTTTTGAGGTTTGGGAGGGGTTTAAATTTTTGAGCTCTGAGTAAATTTTAGATATGAGGCCTTTGTCTGATGCCTAGCTGGTAAAAATTTTCTCCCACTCTATGGGCTATTTGTCTTGCCAGCTATGTCTTTTGCCACACAGAAGCTCTTCAGTTTGATACAATCCCATTTACCCAGTCTTTCTTTGATTTGTTGTGATTCTGGATCTTTACTTAGGATGGAACACCAAATAATCTTCCAACCCAGAATACATTTAAATGAAAAAGGTGTTGTTTAGTGATTGTGCCCAAATAAGTAGAACCCCAGATTATTCAAGGATCTGTATGCTTTTACATACAGATTTTTTTCTATGATTCTTTTTCTTCTGTTAACCTTTTGACAAAGATACAACCTAGAATTTTCAACCATCATCTCTCATTTTTTCACATAGTCATATTAAGTGGTCTGAAATATTTTCATGGCTAGAATGACCACTTTTATTGATAATTTCTAAATTATTTATCCAGTCTTAACTTTTTGAATTCTAACCTCAAATATTTGTGTCTGTGTGCCCATACCAGGTTTGAACTTAGAATCTTGAGCTCCGTTCAGCTTTTTCACTCATAGCTGACAGTCCACCAGTTGAGCCATGCCTCCAATCTGGCATTTTTTTCTGGTTAGAGATGGAGTCTCTGTACTCTCACGTTTCAGGCTGACTTTAAACCACAATCCTTCATAGACATCTCTAAACTAGTAGTCCAGCGTACATACATCCAAAGTTATCTCACCCTTACATATCCCACTATTTTATTCCATTCACACCCAAACATATGCCTAGTAATACATAGTTCACTTGTTGATGTGAGTCTGGAAACACACACACACACACACACTCATACATTCATACATGTGATCACATATAGACATTACCTTTTGTAGTGCCTCATTAGGTCCTATATATAACATAGTAGTGAAAAATCTGTTCCATCATGCCAGTGCATTCTAGTATAAGAAATATACACTGATCAAACTATTGCACATATAATGCTATGTAAGGATAATTATTACGGCAAAGGAATGGGATTTGCTACCATGCAAGATGTAATAGGGACATTTGGCCTTATTTTAATCCATGACCTTATTAGACAAAAGTGGCAACAAACAGCTTTTCTAATTTGAATTATCTCTATTCCTTGAAAATACCACAATTCAGTACCATGACATACAAGCAAACAGAAACTTTTTCTTTACAGATATTTTTGGCTTTTCATTCTGCTTTTATCTATATTGTTCATAAATCACATGGTATCACAGCATAGAAATGGGGGGATGCAATAAGTATTAAAAATGTTGAAGTAGAAACTAAGGGAGCCTCTGTAGAAATAGTGTTAGGTCTTTTTATGAGAAGGAGATGGCATGAAAGTAGGAGTACTAGTCGCAATATTGCTGACTCTCCCCCCCTTCTTTTCATATAATAAATGCTAGTTGTTAATTGTTTTCTTTTTAGCATATAAATTTCAAGTCTTCTGCACAAGAATGGGAATAGAAAGAATGGAGAGAGAAGGAAAGAGGAAGGAAGGGAAAGAGAGGGAAGGAAAGAAGGCTCGATCTTGTATATGAAACTTGAAAGGGTTTAAACTCTAATTCTTAAGATTAGTAGACCTGCGAATGCCCATTACTACTAGCTCAATACATGAACTACATTACATATACTTAAAGTTATAACCAACGTAAATATTAATACTTAGTATGTTTTACATTATTTGTCCTTACTGATACTTTTAGAATGGTAATAGTTGTATCTATCTCTACTGTATCTACTGTCTCTACTGTATTAGTTAAATCTATCTTTAAGATATTAAAATAATAATAGCCAACATTTAGTAAACAGTTACCTCTTTAAAGTACTAAATATTTTCTATATATTGTCTCTCCTAATACAATAATTCAAGAGTCAAAAGATACCTTACTGGGGAGGGGGAGGGAGGAAGATTGGGTTGGGGGGGGAAGGGGGAGGATGGGAAGGGTTGGGAAGGGGAAACAAAGGAGGAGCCTACAATGCTTGATAAGAAATGTACTGATTATTTTGCCCATGTAATTGTAACCCCTCTGTACAGTATTTTCACAATAAAATAAAAAAAAAAGATACCTTACTCTCAATTTATAGATAAAGGAAGAGGTGATTTAGGTGATGGTCTTCTAGGTTCTAGAAGATATGAGCTAGCACATTTAAGTAAATAATTGAGATTTTTAATAAGGGTCTTACAATTTTAAAGATTTGGGCAGAAGAACTATAAACAAGGAGCTGTAATCTTGAGTTGACAAGGACACAATAAACATGGTGACCTGGTAGAGAAGGAATGAGAGGAATAAATACCAAACCTTATTCTCCTCTAACACTTAGTCTCATACCACTGCCTCTTCCTGAACCCAACTAGAAGTTGAACCCAACTAGAAATCAAGGAACATGAAATAACTTGGTGATGCTCTCAGGTTGCTCTTTATAATGGAAAATGCCTTATAAAGGAATAAGGAAAGTATGTAGTATTTAAATATTTTGTACAAGATTCCTGACAAATGACAGTATATGAATGGCAAACTCTTGACCATAATGCTGTACTTACACAAATATATTTCATGAAATATTATTTGTCGGGAAAAATATGTTATCTAAAATTTTCTATCTTATTCCAAATTATATGCGTTTGTATCTAATAATAAGTGACATCAACTATATGAGAGCTGGATAGCCAAAAGTCCCAAAAACATAATCGAAATAAGATATTGACATTTAATTAGCATTTTCAGAATATTAAATTATAATTATTCTCCTTGTTCAGATTCCAGACTCCATTATTTCTCGTGGTGTTCAGGTGCTCCCACGAGATACAGCCTCCCTCAGCACTACTCCTTCAGAATCGCCTCGTGCTCAGGCTACATCTCGCCTCTCTACAGCTTCCTGCCCAACACCAAAAGTAAGTACAATTCTTTGGCACTTTACTCTTGCTCTATTATGAAATCTTGGAAACTAACTGATATTTTCCATGCTTGTCAAGGTTGGATTGCATGTTAGATACTATGAGAAATAAGTAGAATATAAGATAGTTACTACCCATTATTTCACAAATTATCATATAGTCCAATAGTAAGACAATAGAAATTTCATGTAGTATATCTATTCCTACATCACAGTTGAAGGTATCACTTCTATAGCTCCTGTTTCTTTGTTGTAGACTTGTTACTTTTGAGCATACTCATCAGTATAGAAATTATTTCTTTATGTAGATGAATTGTTTTGTGCCAATAAACAGCAGTTAGCAAAATATTGTCACTGATGGGCCTTTTTTTGTTAAGGCTTTGGTAGCTCCCTGCTATAGTATCATTCCAAATTTTTTCAAACTTATTCAACTTGGAATGTTGCTGCCTAATATTTGGAAACGAATCTAAATTTACTAGCAAGAAAGTTTTAATGCCAACCTCTGGGGGAGGGATGAATTTCATAGCCTTTACTTTTTTTTTAATACTCTGTTACAGAATCAAGGTGGGTAGAAGCTGTCTCACATCTTTGTGTATATGATAAATTAGCAAACTTAATGACTGCTATGACTTGCTTCTGCTGAATTGCCCCTTCTCTGGTTAAGTCATTTGTGCCTTCAAGTTACCTATGTGATGGAATCACTGCTGGTATCAGTAGACTAACAAGATATAGTGTCAGGTATCAGGGTACACACTAAATTTATTCTAGGGCTATAGCACATAACTTTCAAACTGTGACCCTTTTCTCCTGTCATCAGATTTAAGAAACTATATAGCTGTCTCTCTCAGTTCCAACTTTTGTATCAACTAGATGTTATGAATACATTTGACTTGAAGTGGTCTCAAACAATTCTTGATGTTATGTACTAAAGTTTGTTTTACATTATGTGATCCAACCTTTTAGCAAAATCTTTGGTGTTACTGCTATGATATGTCAAAAATAACTAGTTGTTTCATTTAAAAATTGAAGTTATAAATCATCAGTGAAGAAAAACTATAGTAACATCTTAGTTCTAAAATATGTTAATGTCATTTGGGTGCCATTTATCTGGATTTTTAACTAAAGGAAAATAAGAGGTTCTCCAAAGATTGAACTGTATAAGAAAATCTTATCTGTCTATTAAAATTATAACCTATTGTTTGATTACGTTACATCCCAGCTGTACAAGCTGAACATTTTTATAAAGTTTAGGATATTATTAAAACTCAAAGCTAGGTTACTACAAGATATTTAGTTCACCAGGATTTAACACCTAAATGTTGAAAATATAAAACTACATAATAAATATTTTATGATCATAAATATTTTAGAAAATACATTAAGCTAAATTTAATTGTATACAGTGGTTCTAGAGAATTTTTATAAAAACTTATAATTATATTTTATTGCAAAGAAGCCAAATACAATTTTTAAACACAATTTTTAAAATTACTTGTACATCCAAATTCACCAAAGTAAAATCCTAAAAATAAAACTTTACGTCTAGCAAATTAATATTTTATTGAAAGACTTCAGTTAATATTTAAATATTCAAATGAACAATGAATTTAAATAAAACACTAAATATGTGTGTGTACACATGTGCACATGCACCCTCATCCATGTATGTGCTGTTTCTGGGGCTTGAGCTCAGGACTGGGGCACTGTTCCTCATCTTCTTTTGCTCAAGGCTAGCACTCGACCACTAGAGCTCCATTTCTGGCTTTTTTTGATAGTGTATTGGAGATAGTCTCACAGACTTTCCTGCCAGGGCTGGCTTTGAACCATGATCCTCAGATCTCAGCCTCCTGAGTTGCTAAGATTATAGATCTGAGCCACCAGGGCCTGGCTAAAGCACAGAATTTTTACCTAGGAAAAGTCTTTTTTGATCATTTTTACCAGCACAAATATATATATAACTTAAAGGTATATTTTTTGCCTATTTGTAGTGTTTATACTGTATATTGTTTAATTAAGGTGTTAATGTTATAAAAGAAACTAGTTTAAATAATGCTATTTTTAAAAAAATTAAAAGAAGTCTCAAATATTAATACTGCTTAATTGACTCTTAAGTAGGTACTCAAAAGTACTTTAATATCAGTGTTAGACGTAGCTTTACTCATTTTAGAATTTACATTCAATCAAAGGCATGTGAAAATAAACAAGTAGAAAAGCAATTCCATTATTATAATTTCATAACAGTTTAATAATTGTAATTGAAATACATAGCAAGAATAGAGCCTCACTTAAGATAGGGTAACCACAAAGATATCTTCAAGACTAACATTTCACCAGTATTATGAAAAATGACTGAAAGCCAAAAAAGAGTGTTTGTTCAGTGGAAATTTTAAGAATTATGTTCAGCAGTAATGATCACTGTAAAGTCATGGATCACCAATCAACAACCTTTCATTACTATATGAAGAGTCTTCACTCAGTGATTGTCATTCCTTTTATGTCTTTAAGTGAATTTTTGTACTTAACTGTTTCAGATAAATTATTATTATTTTATTTATTTGTTATTTTAAATTTTACATTAAAAATTGGGATATAAAAGAAGTAAAAAAAAGGTTCTTAAGTTTCTAATTTAAGATACAGGGTATACGATGGTATTATTAACTATATTAAGGATTAAAACAAAGCAGCAAGTTTTCAGGAATAATGCAATCTGGTTTTGAATGTGTTCAATCTGAGGTATGTTTGACACATTCCAGAAGTGTGACATTCAACACAAAATTAAGAATAACTTTTTAGCTTGACATTCTTATTTTTACTGTATCTTTTATGTAATATTTATCATTTAGTACATAATAGTCAATCCCATAGAAATGTCCTTTCTATGTTTCAGATTAGATCAATGCCAGTATGAAGAGCAACAGCATTTCTATTTAGAAAGAAGTATAAAGGAAGTATAAAGAAAGAAGTATAAAGGAAGCTGGCTCTTTCATACCTGTAATCCTAGCTACTTAGGAGGCTGATATCTGAGATTCAAAGCCATCTTGGACAGGAAAGTCCATGTGACTCTTATCTCCAATTAACCACTAGAAAATCAGAAATGGAACTATGGTTCAAAGTGATAGAGTGTTAGTCTTGAGCAAAACAGGTCAGGGACAACACCCAGGCCCTGAGTTCAAGCCCCACAACAAACCGAAAAAAAAAAATAGATATGAGGTAGAAAATAATGGAAAGGAGTAAAAATAATACTTTTAAAAATTCAGGATTTTGCCGGGCACTGGTGGCTCATGCCAGTAATCCTAGCTATTCAGGAGGCTGAGATCTGAGGATTGCAGTTCAAAGGCAACCCGGGCAGGAAAGTCTGTGAGACCCTTACCTCCAATAAGCCACCAGAAAAATGGAAGTGGCTCTGTGCCTCAAATGGTAGAGCATTCACCTTGAGCTGAAGATCTGAAGGACAGTGCCCAGGCCCAGAGTTCAAGCCCCACAACCACCCCCTCCCAAAAAAAAAAATATTCCAGGATGTCAATCAAATTACCATTCCCTTTTGATTTTACTTTTTAAAAAAAGATATTATTTTGAAAGATCAATCTTTTTGTTCTCAAACATCTGAAATTTAACTTTTAAAAAGGAAATTAGCTTTGTAGTCACATAATCCTTGTGCATTAAAGGTTAAAAAAGAGGGCTGGGAAGGTGGCTCAGTGGTAGAGTGCTTGCCTTGCATGCATAAAGCCCTGGGTTTGATTCCTCAGCACCACATAAGCAGAAAAAGCCAGAAGTGGCGCTGTGGCTCAAATGGTAGAGCACTAGTCTTGAGCTGAAGAGCTGAGGGACAGCACCCAGGCCCAGAGTTCAAGGTCCCACGACAGGCAAAAACAAACAAAAAAAAAAGTAGGGGAGTAGGGGAAAAACAAAATAGAGTATTTCCATCAGACTAACCAGAAGGTTGTTCTCTTCTACTTAGGGAGAAATATAAGCACTGTAATATTGAACTGAACTGAAATTAAACCAATAATTTTAAAATATTATTGAAATACCATCATATGAAAACATATTCTTTTGTTATATTAATATGGATAATTAGAACTTGTTTGTAGGCTTCCTTTGTTCTTTGGACAAACTTTTTTTTTAACTAAGAATTTTCACTGTGTGAGACTAAAAGGTAATGAGAACTCCTTTACATATAAAAATTCCCTTTTGTGATTTACTCCTAGTAGCATTAATTTTTACAAGCTGTTCCATATTTTTACTAATTTCCTGTGAATACTACAGTGATTATGAGATGTGGCTAGTCTGTTGTCTTAAGTCTAAGATAACTAATCTGTGGCTAATCTGATCCAATTTTTGTAGCTCTAGACTAAATGAGAGTACTAACCAGTGCTCTAAAATCATTTGCTACTAGTTTTAAGCGTTTAAGCAAAGTCAGAAGACTACTCTAAACAGCAGGTTTTTTCTTTTATCTAAAATTATTTCAACATTTCTATATCCATATTTGCTCAGCTGTGAAGGTCAGTATAGAAATTTATGGGTTCTAGATGAAAAACAAAAAAATTGGAAATAACTGAACAAGTAAGAGCAAAAACCCAGCCTCTGAGCAAAAAAGTTAAGTTTTCTACATATTGGGATATTGAATAAAAATATTACTAATACTTTTAGTCAAACCCAGCAATTCTCTAACTTACTGGTCTCAAGATCTGTTGGATAATTTTTAAAATTATTAGGGATTCCAAATAGCTTCTATTAATGTGGGTTCTATCTGGCTATTTTTACTAGACCAGGAGATAAAGCTGAGAATTTTATAAAATATTTATTTATTGCTTTAAAATAATAAAGCCTTTATTTGTTAATGTGAATAACATGTTTTATGAAAAAACAAAGTTTATTTTTCGAAAGGAGAAAGAGCCACTGATGGCTGGTTTAAAGACAGTCTATTTGTGATACAATTCTGTAGTTAGAAAAGAAACTATGGTCTTTTATTGATATTTTCAGATAATTACTGTTGTA